GAAGAAATCAATGAAACAAGACTGTCTTTACAAAATATAAAAGTACACATTATGGTCACTTTAAGGGAAAACAGAATATTACTTTCTGAGAGCATTAGAGACAGAAAGAAAGGGTAGGGAGAGTGGATTATCTTATGGGCATTTTCCTTATCATCTTTGCAAAAGACTAACACAATGCTTTGAATGTTATACAAGAATTCTCAAATAATGTAATAAAGAATACATTGGTTTCATTACAAGGACAAAATGGAGCAAGTGCATGGGTCAAACACTCACAAAACGGCAAAAACAGTAATACAAAAATAAAAACAATGCTATAAATTGTAGAACAAAAAACATATTGCAAATCAGTAGTTGTAATTGCCAGTAAAAGTAGGTAGTAATATAAGTAGTTAATATAATATAATAATTAACGACAACATATATTATAATCATGATAAAAAAAACACCAATAATAACGAGCAACAACAAACAATAACAATAATAAAAAACAATAGAGAAGTATAAAGTAATAAAGAAAAACAACAGTAACACCAATAACAGAAACAACAACAGTAACAATATCATCACAAAGTCACAACAATGGCAACAATGCAACAGCGAGAGTCAAACAGCCAAGTAGTTCCCATCACCATGCAAATGCAAGTTGCAAACTAAAACTTTTCAAACTGTCAATACACTTCATTCAACAAAAATAAATAAATAAATAAATAAAAAATAAATAAAACTAATTAATCAACAACTATTAAGTAGTTAAATATTAGTAAAAGCTAATCAAAGCACTATACGAAAGGCTTCTTTCAAGAAACAATCACAATCGTATTTCTTGTATGACATCATATGAAGAACTTCAAAGACTTGTACCTATTCAGCTCTGAGAACCCACCACCTAGTCTTCTTGACAACCCTAAAGTCTATCAGGTTTTCTTATTTGTGGTATGAAAAAAAAAAATAATAATAAAAAAAAAAAAAAATAAAAAATAAATAAAAAAAATATTAAAAAAAAAAAAGTTGGTGGTAATAATTAATAATAATAACACCAATAATAACACACCAATAACATAACAATAATAATTTCAATAATAATAAAAATAATAAAAAATAAGAAAATCAATAAAAAATAATAAATCATTATAATAATGATGATAAAAATAAGCATTAAAAACAATAACAATAATAATGCTAATAAAAGAAACAATTCTATGGATACTGCACAATGTATTTGTGAAAACTTCTAGATCAAGGTTATTATCTATCTAATTGTCTTCATATCATGTATTGTTCAAATATATCTCATGTAAATTGCTGCAATTAATATCAAAACAATTTTTTATATTCCTAAAAATTAGCAAATATGAAGGACAAACAACCAAAAGACATGGTTAAAAAATACAGGGATAAAAAGTGTGTAAATATGTATATGTATAAATATATAGCAAATATGTGTATATATACATATATACATATATACTTATATACATATATATATACATATACATACATATATATATACATATACATACATATATATATACATATACATACATAATATATATATATACATATACATACATATATATATATATATACCATATAATATATATACATATACATATCATATATACATATATATAACATATACATATACATACTATATATATATACATATACATACATATATATATATATATAACATACATATATATATATATAGATATATAATACATATATATATATATATACATATATATATATACATACAATACATACACAATATATATAATACATATACATATATATATATACATATACATACATACATATAATACATATACATATATATATATACATATACATAATATATATACATATACAATTACATATATATATATATACATATATACAATACATACATATATATATATATATGCATATATATATATATATATATATATATATATATATATATATATTATATAATACATATATATATATACATATATATATATATATATATATATATATATATGTATATATATATATTATATATATGTAATATATATGTATATATATATGTATGTATATATATATGTATGTATATATATATATATGTATATATATATGGTATGTATATGTGTATATATATATGTATGTATGTATATGTATATATATGTATATATGTATATGTATATATATATGTATATGTATATATATATGTATGTATATGTATATATATATATGTGTATATGTATATATATATATATGTATATATGTATATGTATTATATGTAATGTATATGTTATATGTATATATATGTATTATATGTATATGTATA